AAGACTTATAAAAAAAAAATTATATTTTGCGTATGAAAGCATTGTAATGTTTACTGATAAACTGCCAAATTTCGATAACATTCACCTACTAACTTAAAAGTTATAGCATAAAAACTATAACAAGCACAAAATGGTTAACTGATCACATGCTGAAAGAGTTAAGGCAGTGCTCAACATCAAAAGCATGTTTTACACAATCACGTACTGATTTTTAGGACTAAAGAAAAAAAAACAGAACTTCTACAATCTATTCGTTCTTCACAAAAATATGTCTAAAAGTTTCAAAGTAATGTTCAAACCTAAAAGTAGTATGTTTGAAAATGTTATGGACTTTTAAATAAATCCGGGTATGAAGTATGGACTTTTAAATAAATCCGGGTATGAAGTAGCCTATTTTAATTGGAATTGGATAAAGAGGATAATTAAAGATTTCTTGAATGTGCAACTTAACTATTTTTTCTCATTTTTTTTGTGTCTATCACCAAAAAAGGTAATTAAAATTATTTCTCAAACAATGCCAATGTTAATATATTTGGAACTATTGTGGAACAGTTCCATATATTTATAGTAAATTAAATAAAAGTTAAATTATTTCAAATTTGTAATAACTATTTTGAAATTATGGGCAAAGGGCTGGGCTGTCTCAGTTTTTTTTGGTATGTAAGTCTGGTCACCCTAAATGTTAGCTACTGGTTAAGTAAATTATGGTGTAGTATGAAGGATCAATAAAAAAGCTAGCAAAAGCGCCCCCTACTGGTAATAATGACTGCTTCCAAAAATGGAATCATATATTTCAACGTGTACGTCCTAGTGCAGTCGTTTCTTCTCGTGCAAGAAGTGTTGTTAAGCTGTTATTAGTATCATTTCACTAGTATCACTTCTAAACACCAAAAGCTTTTGAAGAACACCAACGTTTAATAGTACACACACACTAAATAAAGTTTTAAATTACAATAAAACATTTACCCAATTATCCGTTGAAGAAAAATAAAAACCTGGACGTCTCATACACTCCAATGTATTACTTTCTCACCATCAGGAACGTAATATTTTACAAAAATCTAAAACCTCGCTCAAAAATGATACGATCAAAACCAAATTTCACGTTATCTACTGAGCATGTATGTAATGGGTATAAAAAAGTTTGTACCGAAGTTCGACCCAAGTAATCATCTCTTCCACTTCAGACTGAAGATCTTCAGGAAGATCATAAAACACGTCACTTTTAATGATGTCTTTGTTCAGAGCAATAAATTCCAAGGCTGCATTCTGTAAAAACACACACATTATAATTGTATTTTAATCATAATACTTACATACAGCATCGTTACTGATAATGTACGTACATGTTCAAATGAGTGTCGGTTTTGTGGTAAACAAGTACAATGTTCGTGTATATAAGCAATAAATATTCACCAGTATACCAAAAACTAAAGTGTAACACATAAAAAAGACAGAATTACTAGTATATACTTTAATACAAGCCAAGCATGAAATACAAAAAAAAAAAAAACCAACCAGAACTATGACAAACAAAAATAATCCAAAAAAAAGGGATATATGAAAGAAATATACAAAATACTTATATATAAATAAATAAAAAAAGATAAATTGGCCATCTTAGCTTTCTTTAGAAAACAAGTAAAATATACGGTAAAGGAGTGTTGTTAAATACCTAAAAAATATAAGTCACTCGAGTATGGGATTATCAGAGTACAGTGAAGGAGTATTGTTAAATACCTAAAAAATATAACTCCCTAGGAGTATGGGATTATCAGAGTACAGTGAAGGAGTATTGTTAAATACCTAAAAAATATAACTCCCTTGAGTATGGGATTATCAGAGTACAGTGAAGGAGTATTGTTAAATACCTAAAAAATATAACTCCCTATTCACTGTACTCTGATAATCCCATACTCAAGTGACTTATATTTTTTAGGTACTTAACAATACTCCTTCACTGTACTCTGATAATCCCATACTCGAGTGACTTATATTTTTTAGGTATTTAACAATACTCCTTCACTGTACTCTGATAATCCCATACTCGAAGTATTGTTAAATACCTAAAAAATATAAGTCACTTGAGTATGGGATTATCAGAGTACAGTGAAGAAGTATTGTTAAATACCTAAAAAATATAAGTCACTTGAGTATGGGATTATCAAATAAATGTGGGAAAGAACATTAATGCTACACTGGGATCTTTAAACTTATGTTGGAGTATGTACCAAGTTCACCTACAAAGTAGTAATACAAAAATTCAGCTAATGTCTCCACAACATTGTTGTCAATTGATATTAACAAGTTTTGTCTCTTGTGGAGTTTACTATCAGTTAGGTGTTCTTTATATCTCATTTGTAGGATGTATAATCTTACCGACATAAAATTCTCTAAAAAAATAACAAGTCAAGTGTACAAAATTAAAGATCTTAAATACTGTTGAGTGCTATGTTTTATTAGCATTTATAGGGTAAAAATAATACGTACTGTGAATGGAGAATTAAAAATAACAAAGTCGCAAGGTTAAGAACTCTCACTCTTTACAATTAACGTGTAATTAAAAAAATAAAACAAGGAAAGAAAAGCAAGTCTATCACACAGGAAGAAGTGTTATTACTGGATTGTGTGGCTTGAGATTAATATGTAAAATTTTAGAGCAGTATTTTTTTATTACTTTGTGTATGAATCAATATGACTGACATAGTACCATGTTGAATCATAACCTAAGGGTGATGAACAATACTAAAATTATGAACCAAGTACGTTTAACACTATCAGGTCAAGACTGACACATGATGGAATATACAAAGAAAGATTATTATAGACATATAAACTGGTTCAACATAAATAATTAAATAAGAGTTTAAAACCATTACAGTAGCTTTCTGACTGTACAAACTATTCAACTGTCACTTAGAAAAGTAAACCCTAATTGCACAAATCATAACTACACTACAGAATTTAAATTATAGGAGAACGGAAGACACAAATGGGTGTGCGATATCATTAGAAACAGTACACGGCACTCTTGACCCAAGGTTATAAATTACATCACCTTCTTAAAATATCCCAACAGTTTAACATAAGGTGAGGGAATTATTTTAACAACATAGAAATCCTTACCCTCAGTGTCTTAGCATTAAATTGGTCTCCTATACTCAGAAGAAACAAGGCTGAATCTTCGTCAATGTGACCCTTGAGTGCTTCTTCGGATAACTGCTTCAAAGGATCCATCTGAAGTTCAGAAGTTGTAATTTAATATGATTCATCCAATTTATGGTACATTTATGACTCATCCATTTATGTTTACATCACGTTTTAAAATTTCAGGAGATAATATTACACATAAAAATTTACAAACAAACTCAACATAAACATTAAAAAACATTGGAATGGCCGGATAGAATCGCAAAGTTAGAAGCCATAAGAAGGTAAGAGCATGCCTTGCAAAGAATCTCTAATAGGAAAAAATGACACAAGGTCAAGTAGGAAACAGGGTCAGAACCCCATGCAGACTCTACAGTATCCATAAACAGATACAAATCCACTTCCAATGCTATTGGAAGAACACGTATAGTGTTGCTATTAATGTTCAACCATCAGAGTCTCAAAGCAGACAGTACAGTTCATCACTTACTCCATACACATATAGTGTTGCTATTACTGTTCAACCATCAGAGTCTCAAAGCAGAGAGTACAGTTCGTCACCTACTCCATACACATATAGTGTTGCTATTACTGTTCAACCATCAGTCTCAAAGCAGACAGTACAGTTCATCACTTACTCCATACACATATAGTGTTGCTATTACTGTTCAACCATCAGAGTATCAAAGCAGACAATACAGTTCGTCACCTACTCTATACACATATAGTGTTGCTATTACTGTTCAACCATCAGTCTCAAAGCAGACAGTACAGTTCGTCACCTACTCCATACACAGTGTTGCTATTACTGTTCAACCATCAGAGTCTCAAAGCAGACAGTACAGTTCGTCACCTACTCCATACACACACAGTGTTGTTATCACTTACTCCATACACACATAGTGTTGTTATTACTGTTCAACCATCAGAGTCTCAAAGCAGACAGTACAGTTCATCACTTACTCCATACACACATAGTGTTGTTATTACTGTTCAACCATCAGAGTCTCAAAGCAGACAGTACAGTTCGTCACCTACTCCATAACATTTCTGAAATGTCATTCCAACCCACGAAGAAGAGCGTAGTTCTGACCGTCCAAGACAACTGTGACACTTCCTTGTCGTCTTACAAAATAGACATATGCTTAAATACAGCTCATGGAAACTTCTGTAGACATAACCATCCACGAAACCGTATGGTATTACATTGTAATCTTAAAAAATCAACGTACACTTTAATACAGCAAGAAAATCAGAGAGCATGCCAAGGAGCTTTTTTTTTTACCTCATATCTATCACTTAATTGCATGAGGTCAGCCAGCTGTTCTGTAGACAGCTGGCTAGTTTCTAGGTGGCCACCGTATAAGTACTCCAGAAATATCCTGAATAACGTGGGATTGCTATCATGGACTACAATTTTTCTAAAGAAAGAAAGAAAAAAGAAGAAGATTAAGATTCAATATCAAAGTTCAAACTTACAATATTAATCTCACTTATGTATCCAGTAAGTTATCACTATGGAAGTCCCTTCATTATTTGTACTGTTATTACAACTAATTAGTTGTACGATAAACTTGTTACTCGATTTATAAATACTACCAAATAGTCTTACAAATAACAAAACTTGCATTACTTAAACTATAAGTTATATAAAAATCCCTCACATAGAAAGCTATTTTATTACTGTATGTGTACATGTGAAAAAAACCACAGCACACGAAACTAACTGTTAGAAGTTTGATATCAGAAAAACTAGTTTCGACACATTTCTGCATCCTCTTCAGTCTCACGTTGTCTTCTGCACGAGACTGAAGACGATGCACGAATGTGTTGAAACTAGTTCCTCTGATATCAGATTTCTGACAGTTTGTTCGCGTACTGTGGTTTTTTTTCACTAATTGCTATACACGACATTGTGTTCTTTTATTATTAGCATGTGTACAGTTTCTATAGCTACATATAACAACTAATAAACTAAATACGTGAATGGTTTCACTAACTTATCTATCGATTCTCTCATCCCACTGAGAAGAGCTCGACGGAACCAATCACACTGAGCAGCGATGATTACACAATGGGCTTTAATTTCATGGCATTCAACTTCTTGTTCAACAGTGGACTGGTCAACTGGGTGACCTTCTGTATAGTCAATCACTGTGTCTGTTGAATCTGCACATTTATGAACAAAAAATACTAAAAGAAACTACCAATGAATGATATCCCATTTAGCCCGACATTTTAATCAGAATACTAAGTGTTACAGCTACTTTGTGAGTATGAAAGACACACCTTCACATACGTAATTTGGTCTAAACGTGAGTCACAAACTGTTTCTATTGATTCATATATACTAAAGAAAAATAAAAGTAACAATCCAAATAATTAGTTGATAATAAGTGGAAATAATAATAGATACTATGTTAAAAGAAAAAATCAAATGAGATTTAATAGAGAATTGTTTGTTTCAGATATGTGAGCAAAGCTATACATGAGCTATATGCACAAGCTATTTCATACACTAGAGGGAAGGCAGCTAGTCAAAAGCACCTGCTGCTAACACCTGGGCTATTCTAATTGAATAGTAGCATCTAACTGTCACTTCAAAGTGAGTAGCAAAGAGGCCCAAACAGTGGACCCTAAGATCCATAGTCTAGCATTATTAGAGAATTAAAAATAGTAAAAAAAAAAAAGATATATTTAAATGATGAAAATTTAATGTTGTTGGGTTAAGCCTAAAAAGATATATTTAAATGATGAAAATTTAATGTTGTTGGGTTAAGCCTAAAAAGCCTAACTCTATGCCTAAACAATCCTATGGAAGAAAATTTTATATCTAAAACAAAATTACTCCAATTTACTAGCTATGTGCATTTAACAACCCTCAGAGGTTTTTGGCTCCCATTATAATTGCTTATTTCTTGAGATGAACTCCAATCAGAGTCAACAAGCTAACTAATGATAATGTGGCATTTTATGCTTGGAAAAAATATAGCGAGTGAATTTATTTTAAATCTGTATTTTTAACCATAGCAACATGCTCGTCAATCTCTTGGTTTAATAAATATATAAGAAACAATAATTATTACATCATCAATGAAAAATTGAAACAATAGCAAAAAAAAAAAAAAAAATTTAGCTTAAAACAGATCAAAAATTTTAATTTAAAAAAATGTTGAATCTACAGTATTTGTAGAATAGCATTTCTAAAAATTAAGTAGTTATCAAGCCCACTCTCATTAAATCACGTGGCACAATGCTCATATATATAGTTTAAAAACAATGTCAGTATTTACTATTTGTTTCTTTCTCACCTTGAACTGTGATTATTTGAAAAGTCACGTCAGTTCCTTTACCACTTTTCAGCAGCTGGACAGAGTTTTTGGCCAGTGAACTATCTCTGGACATAGGTGGCCGACATAAAGATTCTACAACAGCTGTCTGAAAGTAAACCTAGTCTTAAACCAAAACCTGTAAACCCAAAGTCTCCAAATTAAGAGTAAAACTCTTAAAATATAAAATAATGTATGACAAATATTTAGATTATTATTAGCCAAAAAAGTCCGGAACTCGAAATACTTTGAAGGAGATTGTTTGAAACTTGATGAAAATCCATAATAAGAATAACAACAGCTATGGAATGGCTGGAGAGATGATCCAACTGACCAACCTATAAAATAGTCATATTTCATGTGTACAATGTAAATTTCTCTCGTGGACAACGAAAGTGGACTATACGAGTGATGATGATTTTTGATACTTTTCTCTCAACCAACCCAATAAAATTTTTCTACCTTTTTTTACTGGCCACTGCTAACATTACCTTTTCCACAATACCGTAAATATCACTTATAACAGTTATATACAGAACATGAATATAGTTTCAAATACACTCTGTCTGGTAAGACTGTTACTATTAAAGACATTTACAAAATGGCAGAGCTCACCACGTCAGTATGATACAAAGTTTGAGTTTTTTTTTTAACTCTTACAATTTATGCTGGGAATCGATTAAACTGACATTTATTGAAGAAGCTTATGAATGGTCTAGCAGAGACAGATAATTAAAATATTGATTTTTAAACAGAAAGAACTGACAAATGAGCTAGCAGAAAGATGGATAATTAAAATACTGACTTTTTTAAACAGAAAGAGCTGACAAATAAGCTAGCAGAAAGATGGATACTTAAACCACTGACTTTTTTAAACAGAAGGACCTCATGAATGGACTAGCAGAAAGACAGATAATTAAAATATTGACTTCTTTAAACAGAAGAAGTTGATGAATGGACTAGCAGTGAGATTGATATTTAAAATACTGACTTTTTAAACAAAAGGAGCTGACGAATGGAGCTAGCAGTGAGATTGATATTTAACATACTGACTTGATCAAACAGTCTAAAGATTACACATTGTTACACACTATAATAACCTAACTCAGATTGTTTAACATGTTTCCAAAACAAACCTTACCGATTTGAAATTATCCCAAACGGTTTTGTTATCTTTGTCGTAGGTATTGAACAGAAACTGCAAGTAAAATATAATTACACTAAACTACTCACTTGAGGAACAAGAGGAGAGGAATTGTGGATGGAACTCTTTGGTGTAAAATGGGTATCCGAGTTCAGGCCTTGGGTCTGCCCCGAGGCATCCAATAGACCCAGATGGATTAAACTCTTTGTGAACTGTTCGTGGCTAACAAACTTGTTGATCCGGTTTATAATCCTCCGCAGGGTGGCTCGATGGGACACAACCTTGCTGAAGACCCAAGCCTAAAAATATTTCAGTCCGAACTAAAATTTTGACTTCATTTAATGAAATGTGCCAGTTTCACGTACTTCTTTCCATTTCTTTCGATTTTAACGAAACTTGTAACGTATTGGGTTGGAGTGAAACTTTTACATATTAAAATCAAACTTTTAATGAAACATCTTTCTTAAAAAGAATAACCAACAAATAAGTTCCCTTAACAATGAGAGTTAATGTTAACAATGATATTACACCTAGGTGTCAAACATACAAAAGTATTTAATACAGCAACAACTAAGCCTTATTTTAGCATTACTGTTGTACAAACAATAATAATAAAAGTATTGTGACAACTAATATCTAACTAGTTTTATAAATCATTGTTTAAATCTGATATCTTCACTAAAACATTCACATCTAAAATTAACAAGAAAGTTAATCCACAAAATAAATATTACATGTAAAAATACATTGGGATACCATACGAGCCAAATACACTCTATGTTAGCTCTAAAACAAATACACTGTACGTTAGCTCTAAAACAAATACACTGTAGGTTAGCTCTAAAACAAATACACTGTACGTTAGCTCTAAAACAAATACACTGTACGTTAGCTCTAAAACAAATACACTGTACGTTAGCTCTAAAACAAATACACTGTAGGTTAGCTCTAAAACAAAGTTAGCTCTAAAACAAATACACTGTACGTTAGCTCTAAACAAATACACTGTTAGGTTAGCTCTAAAACAAATACACTGTAGGTTAGCTCTAAAACAAATACACTGTAGGTTAGCTCTAAAACAAATACACTGTATATTAGCTCTAAAACAAATACACTGTATATTAGCTCTAAAACAAATACACTGTATATTAGCTCTAAAACACATACACTGTATGTTAGCCATAAACAAATACACTGTATGTTAGCTCTAAAACAAATACACTGTATATTAGCTCTAAAACAAATACACTTTCTTCATCATTTTACACATGTATCATCACTGTTTTTGATGTTTCAATAAATGTTAATCTACCTCAAAGATACAGTTTTTAAAATCATTTGATTTCCTGAGTGCACGAGTTAACCATCAGAACCTGATTTTACTATGTTCCCAAAAATTTCCAAACTTTCAGTTCTACATTCCTTTCGATCCATTGAGGTTCCTAATTTATTTAGTACAAAACTTAATGTCACGTTGCAAACAACTTACAACTTTAGATGTCCCCAACTTAAATAAATATTTCCACTCTTTCCAAGTTAACTTGTCATCGACAGCAGCTCGAAGCTCTTCAATCCTTAAGAGGAACATTGGAACCTATACAGCAATACAAACACGATCCTTTAGCATCCATCTTTGGTTGATAAATGCACTCATCCAGATCATAGTTACGAGAAACAACACATGGTTACAGAATTACAGGTAGCTAACCTCTTCAGTGTCAGGCTAAAGCTTTCACTAATAAAATCATCATCATCACTGTGATTAATAGTTAACTGAAAATGAGAAGTAATTGTTTTTCTTGAAAAGAATAATACTAAACAAAAATTATAATTTATTGATTCAGAAAATCGTCATTAAAAAACAAATTGCTGAAGAACAGTAACATGATACCCATTCGTTTTTAGTCTTCATATCAATCATATGCTTCTTTTCACAAAACAAGAGTTGATGGTGTTTTTATTTTCTTATGTAAACAAAAAAGCACAAGTTTCATAGAAATAAGAAACATTGAATAGTTTTAATTTTTGAATGTTTTTCCTCTTCTTTTCTGTACATTCGTGAACTAGCTGATAACATATAAAGGAATGAATTTTTATTATTTTCCTAGTAAAAGCTGAACTCTTAACACACCTCATCAATCAGCTGTTCTAAGTTTCTGGCAACAGATCTGGTTTTGTGCATTGTTGTGAGATCAGTGAAACTTTCTCTGAAAGAGTAAACACAAAATCAAAAGTTACTTCCAGTCATATATATTCAAAGAACGGTGTTATTCTACTAACGGTACGTTATTCCCTAAAAGCATGTTGTGCTTGTTGTTAGACGATTTAAGGAAGACGTGGGGAAACTTTCCAGTAATTAGACCGTAGGAGGAGATGCAAATGTCGGTGCAGAACATACGGTATTTATGGTCCATTCCTGTTTTATGTATCCCCCTTGTATATTTTATTTAAACTTAAATCCTCATATATATATATATTATAGCTCACCTACATTCTATCCTATTTTTATTATTAAAGTCATTGAATAAAATTAAAAGGACCCATCACCAACTTCTTATATCCCGATGTTGTGTAAAAGCCCATTACCATTTTTTCTGTGTAATTTCTCTTTTATCTTCATTCATAAAATTCAGATAATTAAAACCCTGGCATAAAATATGAATGACTAAACCCATGACATAAAATATGAATGATTAAAACCCTGGCATAAAATATGAATGATTAAAACCCTGGCATAAAATATGAATGACTAAACCCTGCATAAAATATGAATGACTAAACCCTGGCATAAAATATGGATGATTAAAACCCTGGCATAAAATATGAATGACTAAACCCTGGCATAAAATATGAATGATTAAAACCCTGGCATAAAATATGAATGATTAAAACCCTGGCATAAAATATGAATGACTAAACCCCTGATATAAAATATGGATGA